TGGTAGACACTAAACTTTTTGTGAGAGAAAGTGAGCAAGGGACCAGTGAGCTGCTGAGTGAAAGTGCTGGCAGTTCCAGATGGTGTTGGTTCAGAGTGCTGGTAGTACCAAACAGATTCTTTAATGCTGAGCTTGAAATTGAGAACATGTAATGTGTAATCTGTTATTTTTATATTTATTTCAGTAACTAGGTAGTGAATGCTTAGTATGTGCTGGTGACCATGCTAAACATAGAGCATTAGACAGTCATGTTTCCTGTTTCACTTAATTTCATGGGAGTAATAGATGAACGACTTTTCACAACAGAGTGTGAAACTCTGATAGGGAAGTACAGGATGGTATGGAAACACATTTTTCTAATTTATTGTTTCTGTGAAACCAGTGGACATACAACCTGAAGTGGCTAGGGAAGGAGGTCTGAGGGCAAAGCTTGAAGTCTTCGCCAGGCTTTACAAAAAATAGTTTAGGAGTTAACTCAGTTGTGTTTAATTTAGCTTGGTGAATGTCTGATTTTGGAAGACTGTGGCTGTTCTAATTTGTGAGATTGTCATGCTTAAAATCTGTTTACAAAATAAAAGATGCTATTCTATTGTATTAAAAGGAAATTATTTTTAGCTTAGACTAACCACATGTATTGGTAGTTTGCTTGGATTTAGCAAGCTAATTCTTATACTTGTTGAATCAAGTCATAATAAAAATGATCTTAAAAAGCACTTGTGATCATCAGTGATGAGCACTCCTTCAGAGCTGTTTTTTTTTTCATGCTTGTGGATGGGGCCTGGGTCTTTGGGTTTATCTCACTGAAGGACACAGTTCGCACAGGACTTTATCCTGGGTGACAAGTGATCACCACGGTGGCCCACCTGGTGAAGATAGCTGTCACAGAAACTCCCCAGCTTTACTTTTAGGAACTGAATTCAGTTAGATTTCTTTCACATAAAAGTTCCCCTGAAGGAGTTGTTTTCATACAGAGAGATTAAAAAAAATTACAACTTTCCATTAGGGCTTAGAAGTTTGGTTGATTCTCAGTTAGCCTGGTCATTATAGTGATTTTTAAACCTGTTTTTACCTTTGGCTGCTTTCCACTGAGTGCATTAGTGGAATCTTGCTCTCTGAATAGGGCTTTCCCAGGGTTCTCTTTCAGATGATTCCATTACACTTTTCTTGAGTTTCTAAATACTTTTGGTTGCTTGTGCCTTTGGTGCCATATCTAAGAAACTATTGCATGCCTAAATCCAGGGTCAAGAATGCCCTTGTTTTATGAATTTGATAGCTCTTACATTTAGGTCTTTAATCCCTTTCAGTGAATTTTTGTATATGATACGATTCTTTTGTATGTGGATATCTTGTTGTCCCAGCACCATTTGTTGAATATGGTTTTTTTAAACTGTTATTGTCCCTTTATTTACTTTCAGTTTACTTAATTTTATTTACTATCCATCCAAATACTTATCATATGTCTTGCACATTTGCAGGCACTGTTAATATAACCATGTCTTTCTTGAGCATATATTATGATATTAGAAGTTGGAAACACCTGATATGGACTTTGTGCAATGGTATTTAGAGGACAAAGACAGTCTCTGTTTTGGCCACCCCATTTGGATTGGGTGCCTTTGGCCACTCCCTTTTGTCTGCTTATCTTTTTATTTCTCTCAGTGGTTGTCACTGAACCAGATTTACTATAGTCCTTCTTCCCAGTCCCCTGCCGCCTTCCAGGATTTTTTTTCTTGAAACTCTAGAAAAACTGTTCTGGTCACAGTTACTGATGGCTTCCACATGTGAATCTGATGGCCAGTTCACAGTCCATGTCTTACTCGACTTAGCATGGTTAACACAATGGATTACTCCCCACTTCTTGCACATTTTCTTCACTTTGTTTCCCCAACACCAGACTTCCTCAAGTTTCCTCCTCCGTCATAATTACTGCTTCAGTAATCTTTCTTAGTCTCCTTTTCCAGTTTTGTTTCATCCCAACCTCATAAGCTTACAAACTTGGAGTTGCCAGGACTTAGTCCTTCTGTCTCTTCTTTTTGTCAGCACTGACTTCCTTGATGATTTCATCTTGTCTCATGGTATTAAGCTTTGTTCTGTATGCCAACGACTCACAAATTTGCATCTCCAGCTCTAGTGTTGCTCTTGCACTTCAGTTTTGTGTAGCCAACTGACTCCTCCACTTACGTGCTGGGGTGCCCACTCAGTGTCTCAAGTTTATGAAGCCCAAACTGAACTCTCTCTCCCCCTATCCCTCAGCCTACTCAGCCTGTAGTCTTTTTCATCTTAATTGAAGACGGTGCCATCTTTGTAACTACTGACTCAGGGTAAGAACTTTGGCGATACCTATGAGTCCTTTCCTTCCCTCATGTCTGGTCATGAAATTCTGGGCTGAGCCACTGTCGTCACGCATCTGGAGTGCTGCCAGAGACTCCTGGTGTTCCTTCTCATTCTGTTCATGGACTCCTGTTGTCAGTTGTAGTGACCGTATCAGAATGTCTTGAGTTAATGTGCCTTTGCTCCTGAAAACCTTCAGTGGAGCTCCCTTTTCTTTAGAGTCAAGGCATGAGTGTTTACAGTGCCGAGGATTGGTACCCCCCTTCTCTTGGGCTCCTCTCCTGCTGTTTTCCTTTGGCAAAAATCCGCTTCCAACACACTGGCCTCTTTACTTTTCTTTGAACAGTCTAGGTATATTTCTGTGGAAGGGCCCTTGTCTCCCCAACCTGCAGTTCTTTCCCCCATGGTCGCCGAATAGCCAATTCCTTTACTTCTTTCAACTCTTGGCTTACGGGTCGCCTACTCAGTGAGGCCTGCTATGTCCGTGCTGCTTTCAGATTGCAGTTGCTAAACCCGCATACCCTCCCCATCTGTCTCACCCTGCCTTTTTCCCCTCCCAGCAGCATGTTTTATCTTTTATCTTACAGTTTGCTCATTTTGTGTGTGAGCTGTGTCACTCACCAGAAGTTAAGTTCTTGGGCAGGGATTTTTGGTGGTTTTGTTTCACTGCTATGCCAGTTACGTAGTGAGTACTCAATAAATCTTTGTCTCCTAAGGCTCCTGTCCTTTTGTGCTCCTTGTTCACATTATTGGGTCCTGTCCCAGACCTGTTGAATTAGAAACTCTGGGGATGGGGCCGGCTACTGTGGTTTTTTGTTTTAGTTGAGGTCTCACTCCGGTGCCCAGACTGGAGTGCAGTGGCCACTCCCGGCCACCGCAGCCTCGACCTGCTGGGCTCCAGTGATCCTTCCGCCTCAGCCTTCCAAGTAGCTGGAACTACAGGCGTGCACTACCACGCCCAACTAATTTCTGATTTTTTGTAGAGATGAGGTCTCGCCAAGTTGCCCAGGCGGGTCTCGAACCTGCGGGCTGAGGCAATCCACTCACCTCAGCCTCCCAAAGTGCGGGATTAGGCTACTGTGTTTTAACGCCTTCCGGTGATTCTGATACAAATTAAAATTTAAGAACCACTGCTCTGTAATACTGGGTAGGATATCAGAGACCGGGCCTGTTACTCACAGGTGGGAATATGTGCATACAGAGATAAATGACAAATACAATAACTGAATTTGTTCTCTCTTTGTCCCCCTCCTCTTCCTCCTCCTCCTTTTTTCCTGCTGTAGCTACAAAGTTTGGAGGCAGAAAGCTCAGGAAAAGAGGATGTAGCCTGTAGTCACTTTCAGTTGATTACATGCGTCAGAATCCTCAAGACCACCCTTGAGTTCCAGTGATTCTTTAGGAGGACGCACAGCATATAGTTATACTCTTGACTAAAATGTATTCCAGCAAAGGATACAAAGCAAAATCAACAGAGGGAAAAGACTCGTGGAGCAAAATCCAGAGTTAGCCAGGAGAAGCATTTGAAGAATCCTCTCCCGGTGAAATAACATAAGATGTGTTTAATTCTTTTTTTTTTTTTTTTTTTGAGTTGGAGTCTCACTCTGTCACCCAGGCTGGAGTGTGGTGGCATGCTCCTGGCCACCGCAGCCTCGACCTGCCGAGCTCTGGTGATCCTTCCACCTCAGCCTTCCAACTAGCTGGAACTACAGGCACGTGCCATCACGCTTGGCTAATTTTTTAATTTATTGTAGAAACAAGGTCTCGCCAAGTTGTGCAGACTGTTCTCAAAACCCTGGGTTCTCAAAACCCTGCCCCGGCCTCCCAAAGTGCTGGGATTACAGGTGTGAGCCACCACACCTGGCATAGACATGCTTAATTCTTAACTCCAGCAACAACAAGTTGTGAGAAATATGAAGTATTGTCTACCAGGAAAGCGCAGTAGAGGCTTAGTGCCCAGGATTTTTATTGGAGGCTGGCCACGTGGGCACCTACTGCCTAACATGTGCCAAAATTCCAGTTCCCAGAAGGAAAGCAGGTGTTCTCCATAAACCACGCGGTACAACAGTTTAGGTACCATGAGCCACTCTTGCCAGTCAGATGACGATGGGACACCTCCTGAGCCCCAACTTTTCATATGCTAGCCAAGGGCCAACTTTGCAAGCAGGACTTTCTAAGGATAGCAGGCTCAGGCCTGCTGTGATAACTCTTTTCTGCACATCATGGTATCCAAAGAAGTTTTTATTTTCTTCCATTTCCTTATATGGAATATAAAAGCATTTAGATGAAATTGTCTCTCATTAGGAAATTTAGTATTAATAACAACCAAAATGTTTTGAGAATGAGTTGAACAGTTTGTGCTGAATAAGTGAGTATATTCACATAGACATATCTGAAAAATACTGCCTGGCTATATTGTCTGTGCTGATTTTGTAATTACAAAAGTGTTTTCTTTCATAGTAAAGTTTTCTTATTTCTAAAAACAAAAAATTAAGAAAAATATGATCGTTTATGAATGTGACCATCAGCTTCAAAGCAGATACGGATTTTTCTTCACTTTTCTTCCATCTTTTATGGGCCAGAGGGCCTATTTGAAACTTGCCATCTTTGGATTTGCTTTAGTGAGTAACCAGTTTTTCTTTCTTTCTTCCTTTTTTTTTTTTATAGGCCAAGATGCTGAATTATCAGGGACACTTTCACTTGTTTTGACACAGTGCTGTAAAAGAATAAAGGATACTGTTCAGAAATTGGCTTCAGACCACAAAGACATCCACAGCAGTGTTTCTCGGGTTGGAAAAGCCATTGATAAGGTATGGTGTTGAGGGAAGTATTTTCTATTTTTTAGTGTCATCCTTGTTCTTTTGTCAGTACTTTTGATAACACTAGTTTTCCCACATTATTTTATGCTGTTCCTCTCATCTTTGCTTCTGATAAACTTTTGCAGGTCTGGTTTTACTATGTTATTCTTAATAAAGTTCCCTGCTGCTATTATTTTAAAAACAAAAACAAAACAAAACCCTTTTCCTTTTATGACTTTCTTGTTTATATCCATTTGCTTAACATGACTAGGTCATGATAACTAAAGTTCTAAAGACACAGAGGCTAGTGTGTGGGAGTTCATTTACAGGAGTAACTTATTCTACTTCCTGAATAACTCCCTGGCTGTGACTCTGTCTCTGCTATGGGATGATGAGAATGACACCCCTGCACCTGTCTCCCTGCCCCATCCTCCTGTCTTCCTTTTGGCATGCTGGGTCGCTTTTCTTTAATGTTGCCTTCTGTGTGAGCAAGCGAGCGAGTGGACCACTAGCCAGTGAGGCCGTTTTTATTGGGTGGGTTCCCCCGCCTTTGTGGCACTTTTATTTATTTAAGAGAGAGGGTCTTGCTTTGTTACATGGGCTGAATTGTAGTGGTGCAGTAATGGCTTGTTGTAGCCTTGATCTCCAATTAAATTTTTTTTTGGTAGAGATGGGGTCCTCACTATGCTGCCCAGACTAATCTTGAATTCCTGGGCTTCTCCTACCTCAGCCTCCTAAAGTGCTGGGATTATGGGCATGAGCCGCTATACCCAGGCTTCTTGTGACACTTTTCAAACCAGGAGTCTTCGACTTAGTGGTTGACTGCAGCAGTTACCATTTTTAGCATGGGGTTGATTTTTACCTGTGGAGTTCACAGTCCCCATGGGGCCTAAGAGAAGTAGCCCAAGATTACTGTGTGATACCGCTGACTACTTCAAAATCTAGCAAGATGGCAGCTGGTCATGGGCATGTCTGTTCACACACAGTCAGCTTCTGGAGGGTTGGAAGAACTTTAGAGGAGAGCTCTTTGTAGCAAAGGCGACTCCTCAGTGGTCCTGTGAGTTACTTAGTCTGCATGCACAAGAGTGATAACGGCGGCATAGATAACAGAACTCCCTGAGTGCAGAGAGTGGGTCTGTCTAAGGCACAGGCAGGCTCTACTGTTAGAAACCATCCTTTAGAGCACTAGTGTTGAAAGGCTAGGCTTGAGCTGCCTAGATCAGAACGTCTAAGGCAGCATCGTCCACTGGTGGGTGTAGTGTGACAGGACTGAGTGGCAGGAGCTCTGGGGACTTGTTTTGGTGCCCACGGCTTGCCAGGGGTGCTAGTGGCCTTTCCGAAATTCTCACCGCTCCCATTGTGGTGCGAGGGCTGTGACTCAGCAAGAGTCAGGGTGGTGTTGGCAGCTGCTGAGTTCTAGCCACACTGTTGGGCAGCGACGACAGTCTCCAGCCCAGGCAGGAAGGCAGTGAGTCTTCTCTGCGACAGTGTGGAGCTGTGAAGCCGGTTTGGTGACTCCAAGGGAATGAGTACAGCTTTGGAAGGTGGCATCAGAGCCATCTGGGACCGTGGCACTGTGGAAGTCTTCAGTTGGTACCTGGAGTGGGTGTTGGTGTGCATTAGCTTAAGAACTATGGGAATACTGGACCACCAGGATCTGTAACAATGGGCAGGTCGCCAAATTGGATTCTGCCACTGGTGGGATGACCATATATGTCCCTGTTTTCTTTTTTTGTTTTTTTGAGTTGGAGTCTCACTCTGTTGCTCAGACTGGAGTGCAGTGGCCGCTCCCGGCCACCGCAGCCTCGACCTACAGGGCTCCGGCGATCTTTCCGCTTCAGCCTTCCCGTAGCCGGAATTACAGGCATGCGCTACCACGCCCGGCTGATTTTTTGATTTATTGTAGAGATGAAGTCTCGCCAAGTTGCCCAGGAGGGTCTCGAACCCGCGGGCTCAGGCAATCCGCTCACCTCGGCCTCCCAAAGTGCTGGGATTACAGGCTGAGCCACCGAGCCCGACCAAAAGTTATTCTTTTATATTTTCTTTCTAAAAGTTGTTTTATGTTCCTGTGAAAGTAGTTTACGTTCTGGGTGATTTGGATTCTGAATTCTTTTCATCCATATGAAACTACATTATTGGCCGGGCGTGGTGACTCAACCTGGAATCCCAGCACTCTGGGAGGCTGAGGCGAGAGAACTGCCTGAGCCCAGGGGTTCTGGACCAGTCTGGGCAACTTGGTGAGACCTCGTCTCTACAATAAATCACAGAAATTATCCAGGCGTGGTGACGTGCGTCTGTAGTTCCAGCTACTTGGAAGGCTGAGGCGGAAGGATTGCCTGAGCCCAGCAGGTCGAGGCTGCGGTGGCTGTGAGGGGCACTCCAGCCTGGGCGACAGAGGAGACTCCAACTCAGAAACAAAACAAAGCAGAACTGCATTATTTAGCTGATAGTGGTAAGTACTTGTTTTATAATCCAGAGCCACAGAGGAAAGTCTAGATTTTTTACCCCAGTTCCCTAAGGTTTTCCAGTATACTTTCTCCTGATGTTTTTGGCATCTACTTGGCCTTAGCTAGGAGGAACCTGTTTCCCCACTAGAACTACCTAGATGTTGTGAATGGGCTTGTATACGTGAGGCTGTTGCCACACAAGAGGACCCTGTTGATTTAAGCACTCCAGCGCTTTCCATTTGAACCTGGTAAATTTGTGTAAGCTCTAGGCAGCCTGTTGTAACCGCTGGTGACCTCATGAATTGATGGTGAGCAAACAGTGCAAAGCTGAAACCATTATGGCGCAGGGCTTTTAAGTACCACAATAAGCAGACCTGAGTAATAAGCTAGAATGCTGTCCACCAGCTCTGAGTGCCATTTCAAAATACAAACACATGTTCCCACCCTCCCAAGGTGAAGACAGAGAAGCCAGTGACTCCTTTATGAGCAGGCTGGTTTTGAGTGAGAAACTTTAGTAAACTTGTAACATGCTGAGTGGTAACTTTTTTTTCCCTTGACGTTTTATTACTTCTTGTGGTTTAAGGTTTTCTGGTTATCACTTCTCTGAAAACTTAAGCAGAATAGAAGTTTCTGATGATACTAGCCAAGGCATTGTTTGACTTTTAATTATTGTAAACATAAAAAGTTGTTGAAGATTTCTGCTTTAATGTGTTGACTATTTTCCATAAAGTTGGACATACTTAGAAGTCATTTAGTTTTCTTAAAAGTTTACTTTCTTAGAAAAGTCAGTAACAATGTTTGCTACTTTAGACTTACAGGCATGTGTTTATATGTGTTAAAATAAGTGGTATTAAGTATTTCAAAGTGTCTAAAATCTGGCGTAGTATAGTTAAAAACTAAACACACAGTACGTGTCCTTTATATGTTTGCAGTCTAGTTTGGTGATGTAAAAGTGTTTTTGTATCCATAACATAACTGGAAAAATTCTGGGGAACATAAAATAAATATGCATGGGTTGGACACTGCATAGTATAAAGTAAAGGAAATTATTATTTTGCTTTCAGTTAATCTAAGGTCTGTGGAGTTGGTATCTTAAATGTGACTTGGAAGAATTGGTAAGATTTAGAGCGACAAGGCAATGGGCGGGGGAGAGGGGACAAAACAATAACTGGGCATATGCTTGACTCATGTTAAAGACTGAGGAGTGACTTGGTTAGGGTGGCCCCCTGTTGGGAACAGGGGAAGGCAATGACAGAAGGCCTGAGGCCTGTGGGTTTGATCTGACAGGAGACTGGGGAAAATGGAATGCATGATGAAAGCAGTGAGGATTTGCTTGACTTCATTAAGGATGATGAAAATAGACTAAGTTGTAGTGATGGGTAGGGAGATAATGGTAGCAATCACTAACTGAGTGTTGCCTGTGTTCCAGACATTGAGCTAAGTGTTTCACATACATTTATATCCCAAGATGCAGGGACATTATTCCCATTTTACGTATGAAAAAAATAAGACTCAAAGATATTTAATAACACATCAGGTATATGACTTGGAAGTAGTGGATCAAGGTTTGGGAAATGTTTTCACTCTGTTCTTAAACACTCTGGGGCTATTGCAGAGCTGGTAATGTTGAAGGAGGAATATGATGGCTAAAAATGTTTTAAACTACATTGTCTAAACTGGGTATTTTGCCACTAGATGGAGTATCTCCATCAATGAGGCAAAACGCTGGCTGCATTAAAGAATGAATGGAGTAATGGTATAAAAAGTGAAGTATGGAATATTTTGTGATCATTCTGGGTGAGCGGCCTTTAGATATGTCTCAGGTGTTAGAGGGGGAAAAGATAACAGTGGGAGGTAAGCCTTGTTAAAGTTTAGCCTTAAACAGTAGATTAGTTAGAATGGTTGAAGGCAGACGTACTAACTCTAACATTTTATTATTGTGTAATAAATAAATCCTTTTGTAGTAGAAGAATGCTAGTGTTAAGGAAAAAGAAAATACAATTAGAAAATTCACTCTGATTAAAAAAACTACATTGCGTTCTGAAATACATAATTCGATATATGTAATTTCTAGAATTAGCAAAAAGAAATAGCTGACAAAAATTTTAAAATTAGCGCTAAAAAGTCAGGATTGTGTTCCATGAGAAAAAAATAGAACATACCAAACTGTTCTGTCGCCCTCTCCGCTGCCCCCAGAGTCACTAGAGGGTAATCCATGAAGACGCAGTGTAGGCAACATATCTAACTTTTTTTTTTTTTTTTTGAGTTGGAGTCTTACTCTGTCGCCCAGACTGGAGTGCAGTTGCTGCTCCCGGCCACTGCAGCCTCGACCTGCTGGGCTCCGGCGATCCTTCTGCCTCAGCCTTCCAAGTAGCCGGAATTACAGGCATGCGCTACCACGTCCGGCTGATTTTTTTGATTTATTGTAGAGATGAGGTCTCGCTGCCCAGGCGGGTCTTGAACCCGTGGGCTTAGTCAGTCCACTCACCTCAGCCTCCCAAAGGCGCGGGATTACAGGCTGAGCCACCGAGCCCGGCTCATATCTAACTTTTGCAAGGCACATCT